TCCCATGTACACTCGATGGTTCCAGATTGGTTAGCCCATGAAGCTAACTTTTTGAAACATCAGATTAATATAAGGGTTACAGTTCAAAAAACAAAATATGGAAATTACGTGATGAAGCCATCTTGTGATTTTCATTAGTTTTAAGATCTCCCCTTACAAAACTTCATCGATTTTCTTGTGACGTATGATATATTTTTGTGTAACACCCTAGATTAAGATCCAATAAGAAAAGAACAGACCCATAAATTTCAAATCCAAAAACATAATGTTTTAGAGTTTTTTCAGGATCTCCTCTATGAAAAAGGAATTAGAGAATTAGGATCCTCATCATAATTCTCAAAACATTCAGAGATAGAAACTAGAAATCCTAGCGAGCAACTCTAGACCCGCCAGCAGCCCCCACCGAGGAGAGGAGTCACCACTTGTTTGCTCCGAGTCACCGTGTGTTTGAGTCTTTTGCTTCTAGCCATTAGATCCCTAAACCCTCATCCTTTTAGTTTTTATTTATTAGGCCAAGGTGAGGATGTATTCATGCACTCTCTTCTGTATTGTTGTCTTGTTTGTTTCTGTTAGATTTGGATCTTCAAGTTCTCTAAAATCCTATATGTTCCGCTTTAGGACGTAACTTGTAGATATGTGATATGTGCTAGACTGTCTCTTAAATTCAAACCTAGATCCATTTAAATTGATTTCGCAAAACTATTTGAATTCTATATATGAAAAAGGATTGATTTTGAGATTAAAGTATGGTAAGTTAGTTGAAAAGTTAAGTGGATAGTACATTATCTCCAAAAAAGAATAAGTGGTCGGTGTTACATTTTGCCTAGAATTGATCATGTGCTTTTTTTTTGTAGGGGGATGGAGACAATAGTCCCCATCATTTTATTACTCTCAGACAGCTAATAAACTACACTCTCACAAGTCGAGTTTGTGTAGTACCAATGCTATCTTCATACAACACCAAATTAACGTCCATGGGGAGAACATCAAAAACATGAAAATTAAAAGGTAAAGAATAAGCCAAGTTCGCTAATCCATCCGCTAATCTATTCGCCTCCTAAAACATATGAACCACCTGAACTATCCAGTCCCTTGATAAGAAGCCGTAGCACAACTGTACTAGGAACAAAAAGGGGGTGAGAGTCACCAATTCCCTTTGCCAAAAATTCCACTACTATCTGCGAGTCTATCTCAATCTCCAATCGCCTCACTTGGCGCTCCCAAGCAATATAGAGTCCACAAAAAACACCCCAAAGTTATGCTAAAGGAGCTGAGCATATACAAATATTCAATGAGAAACCACCAAACCACAGTCCCACTTCATCCCTTAACACTCCACCGGCCGTAGCAAGTCCCGGGTTGCCGTGCGAAGCCCCATCAATATTCAATTTCATCCAGCCTCTCATTGGTGGCTTCCACGCGATCTGCTTCTCTTCTCTATTCCCATCCCTCGTTCTACCTTTAACAACAGCATTCGCAGTGACCACTTCCTTTGCCTGATCTTTAACAAAGCTCACACGATCACAGCATTTGTTAGTGGAACCAAAGATGTTCCCACATCTCCACTTCCAGCCCCACCAAGCTGTTACCGCAAACAAGATTGACTAAGGGGAACCCGCAACCTCTGCCTCGTCTCTTAAGTTCGTATAGACCCATTCAAGCGGAGTTTTCACAAAAATATTCTCTTCTCTTCCTCACTGGTACAATACGCATCCATATTCCATGCATTGCAGGGCAGTCCCTCCAGATGTGGATTATAGATTCATCTCCCCCTCGACATACCTGGCACACACCTGTATCGCTAAGATGTCTCCATAATCTCTCCATATCTGTCATGATTCTCTGATTAACAACAAGCCAGAGGAACACCTTGACTCTCTCCGTTGCGGTCACATGCCAAATCCTCGCAAAAAGGGATTATAAATTCTGTTTCGGAGCCTCATTACGTGTGAGGAAAGCATAGGCTGACTTAACCGTAAATTCTCCATTCTGAGTCGGACCCCATGAGATTCTATCCTTAGCACCAGTTATATCATCAAAGACCACAGCCGCCAACCAAAGTCTAGTATTCATAGAGATGTATGGGATAATCCGATCCCATGCCCATCCCTGACCATTCTACCATAACTCTCTCACTGTATAGTCAGCTATCTCCTCCGGGATCTCAACTAGAGTTTCCTCCAACATTGTATTTTTCAACAGCCATTTGTCATTCCAAAAACGAATGCTTCGGCCGTCCCCAATCACCCAATTCACACCCGGAAGCACCACTTCACGCAGTCCCCTAATCACACTCCGCCATGTTGAGGACCAATTTCCTTTAGTTAAAACCCATGAGCTATCTCGTAACTCCTTCACTTGGTACTTACTTCGTACCACTTTCACCCAGAGCGTATATGTGTCTTTGAACACTCGCCAACCTAGCTTCGCAATAAGGACCATATTCATGTCACATGACAATCGAATGCCTAAGCCTCCCTCCCCCTTGGGGCAACATATTTTATCCCAAGCTGGCAGATGCTGAGTTCTCTTCTCTGCCGTATCTCCCTACAGGAAGTTTCTCGATATTTTATCCAGACTCCGCAATGTTGACATCAGCAAGGAGATGGTGCTCATTCTATGAACTGGAATTGAGGATAAGACTGCTTTTGTAAGTGTAATGTGCCCTGCAAAACTCAACATCTTCGCTTTCTACCGTGCAAGCCTTGAAGAAATTTTTTCCAGCACCACTCCAAAAGTTTCCTTATTGATTTGCTTATACAGAATGGGCATACCTACGTATTTTCCAAGCTCTCGAGTGACTGTTATCCCACTCTCGTCACTGATTTGCCATCCCAACTCCCGACTTACATTTTCTGAGAAGAAGATTTTAGACTTCTCAAGACTTACCTTTTGCCCTGAAGCCACGCAGAATCTTTCATGAACATGTCTCATTACCCGAATCTGAGCTACGGATGCTTCTACAAATAAGATCAAGTTGTCTGCAAAACGGATGTGTGACAATTTTGGTCCCCCACGAGAAAGACAAATAAGCTTCCACTCTTTAAGATCAATCGATCTTTCCACCAGATGACATAGTCTCTCCAAACAAAAGACAAAGAGATACGGGGAAAGAGGATCACCTTGTCGCAGTCCGCGTTGTGGTTTAAAAGATTATATTGTCTCACCATTCCATAAAAGGCTCATCGAGGGGCCAGAAACGCACTGCATAATTCATCTTACCCATACCTCTGGCAATTTTGCTACCCTTAGTGTGTCCTCAAGAAAGACCCACCTTATTCGGTCATATGCCTTCTCATGATCAAGTTTCAATAACATCCATCCCCTCCTCCCCTTTTTACGTCTCATAGAGCGAACCGCTTCTTGAACTACTACTATGTTGTCCGTGCTAAGTCTCCTCGGGATGAAGCTAGACTGTACCGGACCAATTAACTTTGGCATTACACTCTTGAGTCTCACCACCATGGTCTTTGCAATGGTTATTAATAACACATTACAGAAGCTGATGGGTCTAAATTGTATAATCATCTCTGGTTTCAAGACCTTTGCAATAAGCACCACAATCGCACCGTTTTTTCCTGCCGGCAACTCACTCGTGGTGAAGAAGTCTAACACAAACTTAGTCACCGAGGAGCCCACCACTTCCCAACTGTCCTGATAAAAAACGGGTTGATAACATCCGACGCAGGTGCCTTATATTTACCCATGCTTCTAACAGAACTCTCTACTTCATCTGTCAAAAATGGCTTATTCAGGTTTCTCAACTCCTCTCTAGTCAAAGGGATGAAGCCATGTGGTTACAAACAAGCGACAACAGGATCAACATCCTCCATGGAATATAACATGGTATAATACTCAACATCAAGCTTTTCTAACTTTGTTTGCTGGGAGATCCATCTTCCTTCACCATCCGGTAGCATTTCAATCCGATTTCGCCGTCTTCAAACAATAGTAGTAGTATGATAGTACTTAGTATTCCTATCTCCTAGTACTATCCACTTTTCTCGAGCTTTTTAGAACCAGAAGACCTCTTCCTGCTCAAGGACTACAACAAATTCCTTTTGTAGTTCTGCCTCCTTCACCAATAAGGCATCCATATGGTTTTGATCCAAGAGAGTTTGGACTGTCTTTATCTCCTGCACAAGACTTTCCTTACGATATTGCACGTTTCCAAACACTTCTCGATTCCACTTCGGGAGTTTCTATCTGAGAACCCTCAAAGCCTTCAGCATCTTCAAGTTATTGTTCCACGAATTTCCAAGCAACTCCTGGAAACCCGCGTGCTTTAGCCCAGCAGCTTCAAATCGGAATGGTCTCCTGCTAGGATTACCCACTATACTCGGTTCCAGTTGGAGATAAAGCGGAGCGTGATCCGATGATAAAAACGGTAGATGAGTCACTACTGCTTCCTGCCACTGTAACCTCAGTTCCGCACTGCAAAGTATCTTATCCAATCTCTTTGCAACAAAATTCCTCTCCATCCTTCATCTCTTCCAAGTAAACTGGTTTCCCAAGAACCTCATATCAATTAGGGAAAGCTCATGCATCCACTCTCCAAAAGCCAAAAAATCTGGAGATAGACGACCATTACCTCCTGTTATTTCATCCATTCGAACAATCATATTGAAATCCCCTCCTGTAATGATCGGTCCATCCATTTGATCATGTGCTTTTATGTTCAAGTATCTATATTATTTTTTTAGTCGGAATTAGAATTATTTTATACTTGAAGACATACATAGTCATTATACAAAGCGTTTGTTAACAACATGGGAGGGTAAATATAACCAGGAATTAAAAAATTTATTGTTTGCCCCCTTTCTAGCTATTACGAGCAACATTATTCATAGCTCTTCGAACATGAGTACTTAATAACTTAGATGGTTCAAGACCAAAATTTAATATCTTCACTCAAATTTAGTATTAAAATATCTTCCTTGAAGTATCTATATATAGACGAGTAATTGATCAATTCATACAAACATTGAAAACAAAAGACAATGTTGTATCTAAAATCTATTGTCTTCACTTTTCTTTCTCTTATTCTCGTCCCTTGTCTCTTCATCTCTAGGCGTCTAAGTATTCCTCTCTCCTTGACAAATATCCGCAGGTTCATCAAAACTGCAGCTTCTCAATACATTATTGATGAAGAAGAGAGGTGGTGTGCTTCTATTATTCATAGGTTTTACGTGATAATTGTCTTAATATTTTTTGTAAAATGAATGGTTTCTCTCAGACTAATATGAAAAATACATAATCCAAGAACCTACAACCTAGCTAGTGTAAATTCCATGTATAGAAGCCAAGTGTGTCTCTCCCAAACAAACCTAACAGAATTATGATATAATTTTTTTAAAACATACCTACACGGGCAACGACATTGGCACATATCAGTAAAGTTTGCTTATATGAGAGTATCAATATGTCAAGAAAAAGGGGTTTCGCTCAACTGGCTCCTAGCTTTCTACAAGATCCTGTTATATAAAAGTTTCAATCTTTTTTTAACTTACAAATTTGTAGTGGTACAATTGGGGAAAAAGAAAAACAAGGGAGAAAACCAAAGAATGTGGCAATTATATTGGACGGAAACAGACGTTGGGCGAAGAAACGAGGAGTCAGTGTTTGGGAAGGTCACGAAGCCGGAGCTAGAATAGTAGTGGAGAATGTTAAGGACTGTTTTGCTATGGGGATTAAAACTGTCTCTCTCTTTGCTTTCTCCACCGAAAACTGGCGAAGACCTGAGGTGATTATAAAAATATTAGAGAGATATCAGTTATTTTCCATTATATCAAGAGTTACTTATAGTTTCATCTTTCCGATTCGATTAATTTTCTATTCCTTCATCAGGATGAAGTCAACTTCTTGATGGCCATGTTTGAGAAAAACTTCAAGTCTGAGATGCCTTACTACCAAAGGTACCCAAACATGTCGTTTTGATATTTTTTTAAAGTGTTAGATATTTACTTTTCCATTCTTTTTCTTGATATAAAATCAAGGTCTCAGTTATTGGGAAACGGACAAATATCCCCGAGTCACTTCTTGATTTCATACGAGATGTAGAAAAAGCTACAAAGAGCTACAAAGACAAGCATCTCATTCTGGCGATAGACTATAGTGGAAAGTTTGATATCTTACAAGCCTGCAAAAGTCTTACTGAAAAGGCTAAAAACGGGCTGATCCAAGTGGATGACATTGATGAATAAATGATGGACAAAGAGTTGATGACAAGTTGTAGTGATTTCCCAAATCCTGACCTATCGATAAGAACGAGTGGAGAGCAAAGGATCAGTAACTTCTTCCTATGGCAATCAGCTTACACTAAGCTCTACTTTCCTAATGTTTTATGGCCTGACTTCAACGAGGCTGAGTATCGCAAGGCCTTGACTTGGTATCAGCAGAGACAGAGACGATTTAGTCGTAGAGTTTAAACTTTGGATTTTCATATCTCACAAAAAAATTGTTCAATTACTAAACATGCGTGTTTGTTTTTACGTTTACCGGTTGAAAATGCTACTCTTGTTTTTAGAAGCTGAAAATTCAATGTTTGTATTTCAAATGCTATTTTAGAAATAAAATCGTGTTAACAGTTGTAGCTAAATGCATACCTTTTTTGGGTTACCAAGACACATTATACATGGACCAAATTACATAGAAAGTAATTTTATAATTTACATATTACAACAATACACATATTTTGTGCTAACAAAAACACTTTAACTCAGGCAGAATACAACTAGACCCTAATTTTATTTAGAGAAAATGATCCAAAATAACTCATAATAGGAAAAAAAGATATAATATAGATCCATCTAACAGAAAATTTCATAAATGATCCTTTTATAAAATATTTTATAAATATCATCACTAGCTTTTTAATTATATTGTATACAGACTAATGGTAAGTTAAATGCAGATTAGTGACAGACTAATTAGTTATACAACTAAAATTAAATTAAACACGGACTAATAATATATTAAACATAAATTAAAGCAGACTAACGGACGATTAATTAGTTATAACACTTGATATGATTTTAACCGTTTCCGACTTGATCTGATGTTTCTTTTGCTAACTTGTATCTTTTTCTTAGTTTAGATCTTGATGCCAATCGAGTTGGTTTAGGTGCCTCAAAACTCCTACTCCATTATGAGTCGGAAACATAAAACAATGATGATAAGTCGAGGGCACTACCCTTATCGAATTTAGCCAAGGTGTTTCCTGATGCAGGAGTTTTCACTCTTGCGTCAATTCCTTACATACCTATATTTGTCGTATTTCAGGTTATCAATCAAAATGAGATTGAGAATAATACGGTTATAGTAGATGTGTTCAATTCAATCTAAGCAAAGAAATACTAGTGTTTAGAATCCTAAATAAGTAATCAAACTTCACGCAAGCAATAACAAAACTAAGCAAAGATAAAATTTGAAATGATGATAATATTAAATAAAGAAGAATTCAAGATGGGGTTTATTGATATAGGGGAGCTCTTAGGATGATCAATGATGCTTAATGAAACATGTAACAATGCTGGTTTCTAGGCATAGAATTCCAACAAGAAAGATTAACCCAATCCCATGGTGAAAATTACTTTACTAACCACCTAAGAAAGAACTAACTTTCATTAGTGACCAAATGATTAGCAAGCAAGAACACTCAATTCTATCAAGCCAAAATGCTCCCTAGTTATATAATCACTTAGGTTAGGATGAACAAATCCTCTAAATGACGTGATCAACAATTCAACAAACACCAACAAACACTTGGCAGACATAAAAGAAACTTATAATCTAAGCAAGCTTAATCAAGGCTAAACTAGTATTAAGAGCATACAATTGAGAGAAAACATATATATTAATAATAAACAATCTTTAATCAACCCCACAACTCTCCTAATCTATCCCATCTCAAACTCTAAAAAAAGTCTACTCACTCATCTTTGCCAAAACCATAAAACCCAAAGAGAAAATATGATTAAGCATGATTAGTAAGAAGACTAAACAGGAAATGATTAAGGCAAATACAAAAATTCACTAAAGAAATGTAAGATTCTTACAAAGTTTACTCAAAAGAGAAAGTTCTTAAAGTTTAGAAACAATAAAACGTGGATCCTGAAAATTTTAGGTCTTAAATATGTTTATAGGTGGCTAAAAGATCCCTAATAAACAAAGAGTAAATCAGATTTGGTCTGATTCGGGTGGCCCGTACATGGCAGCTCACCTCGATATGCAAGTCGAGATTGTCCATGCTGAAGGCCATATCGACCAATACACCTCGATTTACAGCATGGCATAAATGTCTTGATTTTTGTATCAAGCAATGTTTGCTCGATATGTGCTCCGATACGGATGTCCTGATGGTTTGTATCGAGCTGTTGATTCATCGGTTGTGGTGGTTCGCCCGAGCAGTGAAGTTAAGATGTGTGCAAAGCTCTCCTTCCTCAAAGGTATGAGGTCTGCGCGGATGAGTGTGGACTTCCTTACCTCAGATATGTGGATGCATCAGGGACGGCTCATGTCATTACCGAGCCACTATATTCAGGCCGGGTCTGATAGTCAGGCGGGATCGTTCTCCGTATTAGAAGCAAGAAGCGGAGGTGGACGCCTGGGAGATGGGCTGGATGGCTTAGATAGGTTGGGGGATAGCGCCTCGCTGGTCGAGGATATTCTTGAGACAAATGCCAAGTTGTGGTGTGAGGGATCTGAACTTTGGGTAAAAATCTGGAATCTGGAATTCACTTGTACCTGAGAGGGTTGATAGGTTGCATAATTACATAGTTTTAGGATTCATATAATATAGTTTTTCATAGCATATCATCCATTTTATAGTCCAAAGTGTCTCATATGCATTTATAATAGAGTTAGTTTACAGTAGGATTAGCAATGCATATTCTCTTGCATTTGGACTGTATTTTAGGTCCTTATGAGGCTAAGGAGGATACTTGGAGAGTTGAGGATCAAGCTATAGCAAGGAGGAGCACTCAAAGGAGTTGAACAAATTTTGCCAATCTGTATCGGAGTGGAGTATTGATCAACTGGTCGACATCATAGCGTATCATGCATCATATCAGGGTACCAGACTATACTAGGATGGAGTGTTAAACTGGTATTCTGGAAACTTCCCAGTATCAGCCACTTGTATCGAGCAACTGCCCGATATTAGAATGGAGAGTTTTGTATCAGAGTCCCGTATCGAGCAAGAAGCCCACACTATCTTCCTTCCCAAGCAGATTTGACTTTGGTCAACCTTCGGATTTCAAGCTTTGACCAAGTTTACTAAGCTTTGACCCTGGACTATTGTAGTCAATAACCTTATCTTATCTTTAAATTATGCTTTATTATCTTATCTTTAGCAAAAAACTTATCTACAATCTATTTCTCTCTTGTTCTTGAGAAATTTCCAGTTTTTGGTATATTGTAGAAACAATTTGAGTATTTAATATAAGTTTGCATTTCTTGTTTTTGATCTTCTATCTATTGCTTATGATTATGTTTTCTTTCATCATTTGCTCTGTATTCGATAGATCAACCATGATTTGTGAGTAGAAAATTCTGAGTTTAAGGATGGGTTAGGCTTATAATTTGATGTTTAGGTGTAGATGATGTTAGAACCTTCACTATTGGGTGTTCTTGATGCTTGAATCTTACTGATCAGCTGATTTCGAAATTAGGCTTTCTCTGCGTCAATATTTTTGTTATTGTAATGCCTGAACCAACCTTTTAGTGGATTTGCTTATCCTTACACATGAGAATAGATGACTAAGGAGCTTATTGGCTAGAAAGGACTGTTTCTTTATGCTTGATTGTTCTCTGATCACTAATGAGAGTTAGATCTTGATTATGTTGCATTCAAAGGAATTATTATGATGAGAGTTGTATTATTCATATGTTAGAGTTCTATGCTAAAGGATCATGTATTCATTAATTGTTTGAACATCTTGTTAGAAGCTGAAGATCATTCTAGGTTGATTATCCCATCCTGAACCCTCTTGTTTATCATTTGACCATCTCTGTTCTAGTTTATTTTGCTCTGTTTATTAGACCTTAAGTTGTGTTTATATTGAACTGCTTTACTCTTATGGTTTGGGTATTGATGTTTGATGATTTTTTAAGTTGTTAGAATCATAAACTCTTTCCTGCTTGGCTTTGATCACAGAATTTCATGAATTCTCTTTGACTCTTTCCATTTGGATTTAACAAAGAATCCTAAGCTATACTACAACTAGCTATGAAGGTTTTTTAATTGTAAAGAGCAGTAAAACACTCTTATTAATGGCTAAGGGCTAGGACCAAAGCTGGCACCAGAAGGTTACATGAGATATGAGTTGATATTATTAACATCTTACCACTATGTCATATAAATTTCATGAGTTTTCAATACAAAAATGATTTGGTTTTGGCTTAATATTGGGTTTTTAGTGTTTCTAGAGTTTTTATTGGTAGTTTGGATATTTTAGGCAAAAATAAGTTAAATACAAGTATTTGGTGATTGGACAGTTTTATTATGCTATAAAATTTGTATCAAATGGAGGTTTTCAGACAGTGAGATTTACCTACATAATATAACCGAGGATGTATAAGTTTTATTTCCAAGTTGTTTAAAATCAATCAGATGGCTGTATTGAAAATACTGAGGACTGGTCTGTCTATTTCATTTTTTAATTAGATTCTGCCCAACTGTTTGCGGGTTGCCATAGCCACTTCCTACACCTTAAGTTGTGTTTATATTGAACTGCTTTACTCTTATGGTTTGGGTATTGATGTTTGATGTTTTTTTAAGTTGTTAGAATCATAAACTCTTTCCTGCTTGGCTTTGATCACAGAATTTCATGAATTCTCTTTGACTATTTCCATTTTGATTTAACAAAGAATCCTATGCTATACTATAACTAGGTATGAAGTTTTTTTAATTGTAAAGAGCAGTAAAACACTCTTATTAAGGGCTAAGGGCTAGGACCAAAGTTGGCACCAGAAGGTCAAATACATGAGACATGAGTTGATATTATTAACATCTTACCGCTATGTCATATAAATTTCATGAGTTTTCAATACAAAAATGATTTGGTTTTGGCTTAATATTGGATTTTTAGTGTTTCTAGAGTTTTTATTGGTAGTTTAGATATTTTAGGCAAAAATAAGTTAAATACAAGTATTTGGTGATTGGATAGTTTTATTATACCATAAAATTTGTATCAAATGGAGG